CCCCAAAACCCCAAAACCCCAAAACCCCAAAACCCCTTTGGCCAAATTTTTCTTTGAAAAGTAGCAAATATTTAGGATAAGTATTATTTTACATAAATGGACCAGAAGGATATCACTGACTTGAAGGATATGCACCTTGAGAAGTACATCCCTATCATTGGTACCCACTTGAGTGGCTGGAAGGATGTCAAAACTGAAGAGGACGCAATCATTTTTAGACTTTCAGGACTCTCGAATATCACCTGCATGGTAAAGGCTAAGAGTAAATCTGTGAGCCCCAGATATGTCATCTTTAGGTAAGAGCAATACTTTATGCATAGAGTATTTGACAACGAACTATGTTCTAATGAGCTCGAATCAGCTGTCTTTGATTGTCTCTCAGACCAAGGTCTTGGGCCTGTCTGATACTTCCAAAATTCTCACTACAGAATTGAACAAAGTTATGACGCAAGACCCATCACAATCTTTGAAATGAGGAATCCTGTGCTCCTTAAGAAGATTATTGAAAAAACTTTTAAGTTGAATTACAACCAAAAGTTAAAACAAACTTTGATTGATTTACAGGAGAATCATGGGCATACTCAAGTGGAAACTTTGATTAATGACTGGCTTCCTAAAGTCACTGCTAAATATGATCATTACTACAGCTTGCTAACTGTTGATCAGTATAAAGAGGATTTGGAGTGGTTTAAAAAGGAATATCTCCGCGATGACGTAGTTGAATATCTCAAAGGTATCACCTACGGCCTCATTGAGGAGGGTCCTCCAGAGGACTCTCTCAAAAACTATGTAGTGTGTCATAATGATATTCAGGAGTGCAATATTCTGTCTATGAGACACCATTCCTCAGATCTGGCGATTATTGATTATGAATATGCATCTCTAGGAAACAGAGAATTTGACTTGGCCAACACGTTTTGTGAGATGATTGAGGATAATGCCTACCCATATTTCCCGTACATTGCCTTATATCTTGAGAATTGTCCGACTCAGGAAGAGTTTGAGGAATATAGTAAGTACTACCTTGAACTGTACCATGAAACTTTTGGAGCTCCTGAAGAGACTAAAGAAGAGTATGTGGCAAGAGAACTCCCTCAATTTTTAGAAAATCTCTATTGCTGCATGGTCTTTGATGGATATTTCTGGGGTATCTGGAGTATACTCATGATTGAAGAAGACAAAATCAATGATAAGATCTTTAACTTCAGCTTGGGTGTTCTCAGGATGAAAATCACACACCATTTGTTGACTCTTGATTTTGTCAAAGAAGCAGTAGATAACAAGATTAGGAAGTATAAAGCAAGTCAAGAGTAGATGCAAATACCCCACCGTAGCAGTTATTCTGATTCAATCTGGATACTAAATAATGGGGTTTTGGGGTTTTGGGGTTTTGGGG